TCCGTCAAAATAGGCGGCCGTCATGTTCTTGGCTTGTTTAGAGTATTTCCCTCAGCCTGGAACTTTTCTATGATTTTTTGCACTGTTGCAGGACTTTTGCCTATGATTTTAGCGATTTGTCTTTGGGACTTGCTTTCCTTATAGAGCTTTATTATTGCATTCTTTAGATCTTTAGATAATTCTTTTCCCCGTGGAGCCATTGGTGAATTGTTGATGTACTTAAAGCTCTAACTTACAAGCTTTGTAGCAGAACTTCTAAACTTATCACTGAAATACGAAAAATCACTCGAGAAGTTTCATTCAGCCTATTTAAAAGTCAAAAATTCAGAGTGCATATATACTTTTGTGATTTAAATTTCTACTGGTAGTTAACAAAATTACTCTTACAGTTTTTTAAAATATAATGATTTGATTTATTTTTCATTACTTTATGACTTGAATCAGAAGCTATAAACAACACTCTCCAAAATAATATTTTTCTTATATTTATTTGAGAACTAGAGCTTTTTCACTTAAGCTATGAGTTGCATACTTACTTTTGTGACTTATGTGGTCCATTTTTTATGACTTATAAAAAGCAATGAAAAAGTATATTAAATTAAGTGTACATTTGTGTATGTATTTCTTTTGTAATTTGTGCCATCCATCGTGAATTCTTATCAGACTTAACAACTGATCCTGTAATTGCCCTGCTCAAGAGATCCATGGCAAGACGAGGTAAGTGTTCCAAAATCTTCACTGATAATACAACTAACTTTGATGGAACGAAATTACAATTTAAAAAGTTTTACAAAATTGTTAATTTACCTGGGGAGAAGTTAACCTCATATTTTATTGATGAATGAATCGAAATTTTATTGCTCCTAAATCTCCTCATTCTGGGAGGCAAATGTAAAACCTGCGAAATATAATTTAAAAAGAATGTTATAAAAATTACGTGCATGAAGAAATTACGTATGAAGAATTGTAGACTATTATTACTCAGATAGAGGGTATTCTGAACTTTCCTTACTCGAATGTCAAATGATTTTGAAAATCGAGGATTTGACTCCCGTAACGTAACGATTTGACTTAACGTAATGTGATGAATATAAATACTAATAAGATGAGTTGCTGGCATTTAGTAAATAAGGTAGTTCAAGCTATCTGGAAAAAAAGGAGAACCAATTATTTAAATAAGCTCCAACAGAGATCTAAATGGATGGCTGAAAAAGAAAATATTTTCATAGGTACCATGGTAGTTGTGAAAGAAGATTTTCTACCAATTTGTAAGTATCCTTTAGCTAGAGTAGTAGAAGTGTATTGCGGCTCTGATAACAAGATAAGAACATGTAAAATTAAAACCATTTCAGGATAGTTTAAGAGACCAGTAACTAAATTATGCATATTACCTTTCAACGCGAGCCTGAATGGTCTAGTGGCTAGCGCTCTGGCGCTCAGTACCCCAGATTTCGGGTTCGAGTCCCGGCGGTGCCATGGATGTTTGTAGTGGTTCGGAATCCACTTTAAGCCGTAGGTCCCGGTCTCATGTAACTGTAGAGCGTCACGGAACAAAAGTCAGACTTACACCTACGGGTGATCCATCCCAACAGAAGCTGCCCCATTTCCCTCCATCCATGAGTAGATCACTCATGGGATGTCCGTCCCGCACTGCAGGACGTTGAGGATTAGTCAACAACAACCTTTTAACGTATACTAATATCTCATTTTGTTCTTTTTTTTTAAGTATTATAACTATGTCTCCATGTGTGAATATTTTTTTGATTTTTCAATTATTGTATTGTAGGTTACTTATTGTGTTTACTTGTGCTACTTTTAATTGTATATTTGTTACTTATATCTATTTTGATACTTAATATGCAATTTTGTGCTGCAACTTTATATAAGTACTGTAATGTTTAACTTTTCTTTAATGCTTGAATGTTTGTAAACATTGCAAAGTCCGGGGGTAGGTTTGTGGAAGCAAAAATAATCTGTAAGGCTCTACGGGAAATCCCTGAGTTTAAGCAGAGTTCAAGGGGTGTTAAGAGAGAACTAGTGTGGAGAGACCCTCCTCAAATGGGATGCTGTACAAATAAATGTCAAATCTTGTTTTTATTTGTGTAAAATTCACGTGGACGATCTATCGAACAAAACAACTGGGTAATATTCATTCAGAATTATTTTTGTAAGTGCTCTTTGCAAATTTACTGCTGCATGTTTTTTTTTTACCTAGTTGCTGCGATTGTTAAATTTAGGTCTTAGTTTTTAGCTGAAATATAGAATTTTGCCGCAGGAAATACAGTTAAATATCTCTATGGGTGGGTGCGTCATCGTAGACGAATTGCTGTGCATGATGCTTCTTTTAAGACGTTTGATTTAGTTACTTGTAACTGGACATTAGATCTAGAATGGAGACCTGTTGGCCGAGTGACTAGAGCTTTGGATCTCAATACGGATACACGGATACGGGGGTCACGGATGTTTGCAGTGGTTCAGGATCCACTTTAAACAGTAGGTCCCGTTGTAATTAACCCTCGTATGCAAAAAAGGACCATAGAGCGACAAACCAAACAAAGCCAGATCTGGGATGTATGGTGTGTGTTGAAATTTGCCTTTTGTCAGCATCCAAGGTTTTAATCCCCCCCTCCCACATTACATTTCGTTTACTTATAACTCACAGAAAATTTCTTTGGAATATCTGTTTTATTTAGAAAACACATTTAGAGATTTATATTTAGAAAATGCGTGAGAAAGGCCACAGATTTGGACTTCTTATTTAGTGGCATTCTGTATTGGTGCAGCCATAATATACATATGCTCCGTGAACCTGCCTCATAACAAAAGCTATGAATGATTGAGAAGGAAAACCAAAACGATCCACAAAATCGGTACTGTCCCCAACGATACATGATATTGCAGGGAAACATGATGCATCTTTACTTTTTGAACATACGTGGTATAATTATCGTAGAACAATAGTTTTCTTAAAAATCTCTTACAAATATTTTATTCCGAGCAGTATAATAGAATAATAATTTACGTTTTATTGTAAAATTTTATTATATATAGGTAAATAGTCTACTAGAAAATAAACATTTGTAGGAAAATTTATATTTGTAGATTA